TATGAGGTGGATTTCCCAAGTGTGGTGTCCCGGAAAGCTGCTCTGATTAGGGGCACAAAGGACTTGGCTATAGTGGTGGGAGGAGCTGGAGGTCAGGAATCAGGTATGATGTTTCTGGCATCGTGCAGCAGGCTGGCTACAGTGCAGCACCCAGAGGCATTGCATCACATACAGAGGTGTGGCTTAGAGATGGCCACAGCATTCTCCAACACTTGATGTGGTCTGCACTGACCCTAAGTGCCTGCCCCTGTGTGTGGAGGGAGACGCTATTCTCTGGGCACAGAGTGTGTGCTGCAGAACGTAGAACTCTGTTAAGAATGTCTCTAACCTTCTGACTGTGAAGGGCGCTGATGAGATGCTCTCTGAGCAGCAATATATGCCTGGCTCTGCAGACAGCTTGTGCTGAGCAAGGGGGAACTCAGCAAGGTTTCAATTCTGCAGTGGGTAGGACTGAAGCATCACCCCTGTAACTTGTTTTGCATCTGATCCCCCAGGTGCTTATCCTGAAACAGAGTCTGGGAGTTGGCTCCCTGGGGTTGAGACAAATGTAGGTTGTGTATTCTCAGTGCCTTCACAAGTGCTTCTTGCCTGTCCACTGTAGTTCATTCAGGGATGGAGATGCCTGCAGGAGGCTCCCCATTTCCTTTTCTGTTGCCTGTGTTGTCAGCAGGTGCATTGGTGTGATGCTAGTTGTCTGTGGGATGGCTGCTCCCTCGCTCGTTTTGTTGCTAGTGTGGAATCAGCATCGTGACAAAGGTATTTCAACTGTTTTCCCCCAGGAGCCATGAGCTTTGTTGGAGAAGATTATAAATTACTGGGAGTAGACCTGTCTGAGCTGTCTCAGTTAGAGAAAGCCCTCAAAGAAGCGGGACTGGACAGTGGGGTCCCCACCATGTTCCTGGCAGAAGTGGTGCTCACCTACATGGAGAACAGCAGGTTGGTTGGGTTGTCTCCCCCTTAATTTGCAAGGTCTCTGCTCAGCACACCTGTCAGAAAAGTAGGACCTCTGGTATTGCTGTTGTGGGGCTGTGAGGATGGGTCTTGTGCCTGCTTCAGTGCGGGCTGGAGCCACTATCCTGTTAGTTGCTCTCACGTGCATCTCTGATAGGTCGGATGCTTTAATTCGGTGGGCGGCACAGCACTTCTGCCAGGCGCAGTTTGTACTCTATGAGCAGATGCACCCTGAGGACCCCTTTGGGCACATCATGCAGCAGCACTTCAGCCGCCTGAACTCAGCACTTCATGGCCTTGCTCAGTACCCTGATTGTGAGGCGCAGCGGAGACGCTTCCTCCAGCAGGTAGGTACTTATAACTAGGGCAATGTGTAGCCTGTGCAAGACAGGAAAGAGCAGGACTTCTGAGGGCCTGGAGACTTCAGACAGGCTGGAATTGACATGGCCCTCTCTGTAGCTGCATTCCCACATCCAGTCCCTGGAAGCCCACTCCCTTTCCCTGGAACCGCTCTTCATGCCAAAGCTAGTATTCTGCTGGTAATGTGGACATGTTTCCGTCTGAGGGTGCTAACACCTTGGGACCTTCTGGCTGGGCTTCAGCGAGGGTGGGACCCTATGTTCCATCCAGTGGCGCTTTGGGAGGAGCACTGGTGCCATATGGAATCCACCAGCCTGTAGAGATGCCCTTGCCGGGGAGAAAAGGCTGTCAGTGTTTGACTCGGCCAGTGATACAGTCTCCTGGCTGTGGTTCTGTCTTTGGGGGAGTGACGCTTTCTGGGGAATGTGGGTCTCTGTTTCAGGGGTGGACCGAGTGCTTCATTGTAGATATGAACCAGTTCTACACCCTCTGTATTCCAGCAGAGGAGCGGCAGAGAGTGCAGGCTCTGGAGCCATTTGATGAATACGAGGTAATTCTGCTCTTTGCTTCCTTACACCAGGCATGTGGCTCAATGCCTGCAGCCATGGCGCTGCATGAATGTGGTTGTGGTTTCATGTGAGGGGACCTGGGAAGTGGAGAGCCAGTTAACGTGGAGTTGATATGAAGTGTGGGGGTGGAGGGCAGCAAGGGGTTGAAGCCCTGTTGTGGGTGGGCATCATGCCCAACTTCCACTGCAGAGGGCTGGGCTTCCTCTACTCTCAGCAGAAAGGGGACCAACCTTCTGAGTGGTGAACAAGCTGGGAGAGCATTAAAAAGACTGCTCTGTTCTTGTGGGTATTTCCTGCTCTGCCAATTCTGATTTGTTCTCTGCAAACTTCGGAACAAGCAGGACTTCTGGTATTGTTGTCTGGCGGGGGGGCCGCACACAACTGTATCTCCCATATCGTAAATAAAGATTCTTAAGAGTGCGTTCTTGTAGAGCACAAGTGGATGATGAATTGCCCTTTCCAGTTGCTGTTAGAGATCTGTCGGTTAGCTAGTTTTGAAACCACTTAATGTGGACTACAGTGACTTTTGTATAATGCTGGGAGATCTGTTCTAACTACTGTACATGGAACTGAGAATGTGGGCTGAAACATGCTGACAAATTGGCAAGGGTTTGGGAACATGCTGCAAGAACGAGTCTAGGTTTGCACATGAGCCTCAGAGCATGGGAGTGAATATGCTGTCTATTGAGCTTCACGAAGGCACAGTTACTAGAGAGCTTGGTCTGCTCTACAAGTGTTAACTTGGGGAGAAGATTTCTTGCTGTAGGCACTTGATCATTCAATAGGCAGGGGGGAAATGAGAGCCAGTGGTTGAAAACTGAAGTGCAGTAAATTCAAAGGAAAAATGCACTCCACGTGTGTACAGCTGAGGAGAATTAAACACTGAACAGCTTGGCTGCTGATGTGGTGGAGTCTCCCCCATTTGCTGTCTTCAAGGCAAAAGACCCACACCAGTTCAGCTGGAAATTGCTGCGAAAGGTGCTCATGAGCCTAAGTTGTGCAGGCTGTCAGACTGATACTGTTGTAGTCCCTCCTGGCCTTTTAGCCTGTGTTTCAGTGGCTGGCTGTCACTTCTTTGCACTGTTGGCTGCACTGGCCCATTACATAGGCAGAGCCAGGCCCAGTCCCCAGAGGGGTCAGTGCAGGTATGAGTGCTGCCCCTCACTTCCTGAGGGGATCTGCTTCCTCCACTTCCAAGTGGCTCTGAGCCGAAACCTGAGCTACCGTGCTTGCACAGCAGCAGCTGCAAGTTGCCAGCCTCTGAAATGGGGCTGAAGGGAGCCTGCTCTGAGCACTGCTGGCTGCTGCAGGATCACTTAGAAGGGGTTGGAGTTTAATCCTACTCCCTCCCCACTGTAGGACAGTCTCTCCTACCCCCAGTTACTCCCAGGCACTCAGTTTGTCTCTCTTGGCTTGCTGCAGGAATGGCACCTGAAATGTTCCCATTACTTTATCCTGGTTGCCTCAAAGGGGATGGAGCTTACCTGGACTTCTGTGTTATCCAGCCTGGCAGGTAAATACGAACTGGCTCCCCCTGTGACCTTCCCAGGACCTGGCAGAGGCCTCAAAAAGACCTCCTGTGGCTTAACCTCTCTGCAGAAGAAGCACATAAGATACTGCTATCTGAACATACCTCTTCATCTTTCCTGCTAGTGATGGATTCACAATCTGCTAGTGCTTTGGATGTCAGTGCCTTGCTTCTAATAGCTCTGAATTGAGAGCTTTTCATTCGTTCAGGCTGTTGTGCCTTGTCACATCTAGGATGTCTCTAGGGGCTTATATTTTATCCAGAGAAATACAAGAGAAGCCAAACAAATTCCTCTAAACTAGACACTGGATTATTGGGATATAAGCAATCAGGTAACATGACCCAGAGCAGCTATATACAGCAGAGAATACAGACATAGGGTGGCAAGGTCTCAGGGCCCTCAGAATCTGTCCTCAGGTTTAAGGCAGGTTCCAGACTCCCACCCCTCTGCCTTTGTGTGGGGTTTTATACAACTCAGATTCATATTTCTGTATTCACGCCCATTCCTCTGAGATGAGGATCTCTTGGCCAGTTCAGCAGGGAGCAGGGAAATTTGAGTCCAGGTCTGTAACCATTGTTCTAGGGTCATAGAATCATAGAAGTAGGGTCGGAAGGGACCTTGTAGATCTTCAAGTCCGACCCCCGCCTGGGCGGAAGAAAAACTGGACTCATTTGAGTCCAGCCAGGTAGGCATCAATCCTCTTCTTAAAGACCCCCAGGGTAGGAGCCAGCACCACTTCCCTTGGAAGTTAGTTCCAGCTCCTAGCCACCCTGACCGTGAAGTAGTTCTTGCAGATGTCTAATCTAAACCTACTGTCCAATAATTTGTGTCCATTATCCCTTGTCATGCCAGGGGGCGCTCGGGGAAACAGT